CATAAATTTTATGAAAACTGAAACAGGAAACTAGTTATTTTTCTCCGGCTTTAAACTTACTAAAGTAAAGGCAAAAAGCAAGACTTCCAATCAGGAGGAGGAAGGGAAAAGCACTCAGAAGTTGGAAGCAAGCCTGGGTGAGGGGGACACTGGTTACTCAGTAACACCCTGCCACCTGTGGGAAGAATTCCTGGGATCCACAAAACCGGTTTAACCAAACTTTGATCTTCTAGGACCTTCTGTTAAAAAAGATTATATGTGATTATGCTCCAATGTTGCTTCCAATTCTTACAGCAGCTGAATATTTTTTAAAAAATCAGAGAAGACAACAAAGAGGTGGACAATTTTTCAGGAAAAAAAAATGTATACTGTGAGACAGTAGCAAAATCTGTCATTATAAACAAAAAAGATTTAAGGACTCACATTTCCTGTTGAAACTCTTCCAAGAGTAATCTATAGGACTGTGTCTAAGTCCTTTTGGAAGTTAATTTTACTTTCATTCATTGAGAGTTCAGAGCCCTGCATCATCTCTTGGCCAAGAAGTTCAAAGACCCAGCACACAGCACAAGCACAGGGAGACTGGGAGCTCTAGAGGAGACTGAAGGTCAACAGTAATGTGAGGTGAGGTCTTTGGGAGGCTCAGCGTGTGATCTTGAGTATCTGAGTCCAGCCCCTCTCCCCTGACTCACCACCTTCCCCCCGCTCAACCCCCAATAAAGAGAAATCATCCTGGGCGGCTCTGCTCTGACTGGAGATCCCACAGGCCTAGGCCTCAGGGGAGACTCTTGGCTTTGAGTCAAACTCTTATGAAACAGAATCAGAAAAATGAAGAGAGGGTAACAGAGCTAGAAAAACTATCAAGGAGACAGGAGGGGCCTGGGTCTAGAGGTCAAAGTTCAAACAGAGAGAGGAGGGGGAGGGCCTGGAGTAGTCAGATGCTTCAGACCTAAGAGAAATGGAATTGTTTGATGGGTTCTCAAAGCGTGTTCTGTGGACCAGCAGCATGGGCATCCCCTGGGAACTTGCTTCAGATGCGAATGCTCAGGCTCCAACCAAGGCCTGCAAAGTCAGAACTTTGGGGCTAGGGCCCAGCACTCAGCTTTTAAAAGCCCCTTCAGCTAATTCTGATGACTGCTACCATTTGAGAGCAACTGGCTTAATGAATTACTGAGTTAAAGGCATTGAGACCCCACTCAGCCCCCCTTAAATGGTACTGAGAACAAAGGATGTAATTCCTGTCACTTTTTTTTTTTTTTAAAGATTTTATTTATTTATTTGAGA